CACAGACCTCCTGCCGGCTTCTCCCTGGGCTGGGGGAAGGGAAGCACAGCCTGCCCTCTGGGGTCTCCCCAGGTCTGGCCTGGGATGAGGTGGGGGCCACGTGGCACAGTCAGCCCCTATGCCCCAATTGTGACGTGGGGGGAGGGGAGGGCATGCTGCTGGCCAGCAGCTGCTCCCAGGGGCTGGAACGCTATAGTCATTCATGAGTCCTTCTCTAGTCATTCATAAGTGTCCTCTGTGTTTGCTGCCCCCCCATGGGGTCATGCGTGAGTATAACTGTCTCTGCTATCACACTCCCCTCTTTTCGTTTGATGAGAAGCAATCCCATTCCAAGCACATCCCATTGTCCTGGCACAAGCAAACCCTGACCTTGCTTTAAGTTAGGATGAAAGGTGGTGGTCCTCGCTCTTACAGGTTAGGAGGAGTTCTTGAATAAATGGACACATATAGACGGACAGACAGACAGACACACATTTCTAAAATATATACTATGATTATTATTTGTGCATCTGACGCAGTGGGTCTATGCTCATGAAAGCTCATGCTCCAATATATCTGTTAGTCTATAATGTGCCACAGGACTTCTCGTTGTATATGCAGATTCAGACTAACTTGGCTATTCCTCTGATACTCATATTACTGAATCACATGGGGGTGATATGCTAGTAAGTCTGGGTGCATGATGAAATGCATATGGAATACAGAATAACAGGAGTAAAATATGTAAGCTAATCCTCTTTTATAGTCATCTCAGAGTAACGCTATTTTCTGTGCTATTAAGAAACACTCTTCTGTCCAGTTATAGCTTGGTGCATGTGACATGCCTGTCAGGATTCTCTTCCCTACCCTGGACATATTTCTTCCTGAAATGTAAATGACTGAATTCCTCTTTGATTTCCATGAGAGATTTGCCTTTTGTTTCTGGAAGGAACCGATAGATGAAAATCCATGTTATAGAAATGAAGCCCATAAAAAGGAGGAAGCAGAAAGTACCAAGGCTCCTCTGAAACCAAAGGAGAAAAAAAAGTTAATTTTCTTCCTTGTTTATTCTGGACTGTTCTGGCTTGGGAATTTTTAAAGGAGCTATCTTAATTTCAAATGGTGATTGATAGGATAATACAAGGCACTGGATGAAGTGAGCAAATTCACACTTTTCACCTCAGGGACAGGGGCTGATATCAGTGATAAGGTACGTCTGTCCCTGGCTAGGAAGCCAGGGTGTTATGATTGTTCCAAAACCCCGGCAAATGGTATGCTAGTGTATTGGGATGCCACTGTATGGCACATAAATAGTCTCCTTTAAAAAAAAAGATTAATCAGGTCCCCTCAAGAAGAGCTTAGTTTAGATTCACTTACCACTACATAAGGGAAAATCATCCCAATCACATAGAGTCCTGTCCAGTGGAGAGAATTGGAAATCACAAATGCGGATGATCTGGATGACTGGGTGAAGAGGTCAGCCATGACTGGGAAAAACGCTCCAGCTGGAGAAGAGCAGATTTCTCAGAATAATAATTAAATAGTAACAAAAATAAAATGCTCATTCACTTCTAAGCTATTGAAATCCAGTGACATGTTAGTGTAATGTTTACAGATATCAGACCGGATTCTAATTTCATTCCAGTTTTAGACTGGTATAATTCCATTTACATCAGTGGCATTACCACTAGTTTACACTGGTCTCAGATGGGGAAAAAAGAATCAGAGGTGTTCAGTTCTCATCAGCCATACACAACCAGTAGTATTTTCAGTGGCAAGTTCTTTTTCTGTCTTTCCTAGTGGAGGAACTCAGATTTTTCCAGTCGTAAACTTCCTTTTTGATCAGTGTCATTTGAAAGAACTTATGACAGTGCAACTTGTTTAGAAACTGCCTCTTTTGACTATCCATCCTTTAGGTACTTAGAAACTTTTTGTTTTTCCTATTACATTCCAGCTCGACTTTCCCTTTGATATATTTTTTACCCACTGCCTCTTCTTGTCCTCCTCTCCTATTTTTGCCTTTCCTTCCCCCCCCATTTCTCCCCTATTTTTTTTGGTCCTGGACATCCAATACTCCGGTCATCTGCAGAAGTGGACTGTGCCCACGAAAGCTCATGATGTCATCTACATGTTTTTTTAGTCTATAAAGCGCTATCAGACTATTCCTTGTTTTTTAAGTTTAACTTATAAAGGTGTGAGCAAATCAAGATCATGCCAGTAACATTTATAATGTAAGAACCTTCATGCTTCATATTTGCTCTACAGTGAGTCTTAGGAGTGTATAGTTAGTAGAATTAGCCTTCAAAGAACAGCTCTATTGTAAGGGTGTTTCCCAGGAAGGGCTGTCCCTAGCGGGATGTGGGGCCTGGGACATCTCCTCGGTGCCCCAGGTGTGGGTCCCAGGGCAGCCCCCTTAATGCGGGCTATGCCGCACCCCTCCCTAACCCCACTCCACCCCTTTCTCCAAGCTCTGCCCCTGCTCCCTCCCTTGCCCAAAGCCCCCCCCAGATGTAAACTGGGGGATTCCTGGGGAGTCTAGCATGGGGTGACAGCTGGGATTGGCCCCCCCTCCTGCACACACCACGGCAGTGGGAGCTGAAGCGACCAGACAGCCTGTCCTACTCTGCTGTGCTCCGCTTCACTGTGGCGGTGGGGAGGGGAGCACCCTGGGCCGGAGCTGGGGCACCTGCTTCTCGCTGATCTAGCCAGGAGAGGGTGGTATCGTGGGCGGGGCAGGCTGCAGAGTGGCTCTGGCTCTCACGGCTACAGTGGGGGCAGGGGGGTGGCGGTGCATGCGATCCCTGCTGCCACCCCACACCAGGCCCCCAAGTAATCCCTCAGGCCACCCTGGGCTTGGCGTCTGGGGCCGCTTTGTTCCCAGGCAATACAGAGCCGCTAAGATGGCTGTTTGCTGTGCCAGCCCCCTGTATGGGGGACACCTTGGGAAAGGAAGGAACATGGCTCGAACATGGTGCCTGAAGGGCCATTTGGCCTTGCTGAGGGGGAGGGGTGAGTGATAGTACTTAGTATTAACCCGAGTACCAAACTCCGGCTGTCATTGTGCAAAATATCAGATTCTATTTCATCTCATTGTTTCCATTATCTGCGTATAGTCCCTCCATGTTAGTGTATTTGGATTCCTCAGTCTCTCTCTCTCTCCTCACGTCCAGGTACTAACCTGGCCCAGTTGCAAAGATGATAATGAACAGGAAAAGCAGAACGACACTGCAGTACGGCATCCAGAAGAACTGATGCTAAAGGGGAAGACAAAGGGATAGTGGTGAGTCTTTGTTGATACCTTCCTAGACTTCCAGGCTGACTTCTTGTTGCCAGCAGGATCTGGAAAACCTTAAGGGGATCTCAAGGTCTCTCCTTTTTCGGAGGTGACTGTTCTGCAAGCCTCAAAGAGAACACACTGACTGAGTGCCGCAGTAGACAGCATGTGTTCTCGGAGACAAGAATCCCAGCTGGGAAAGTTATTGGTAAAGGACACAGAGAAAGGGAGCTGGTTTTTTACCTGCAAGGAGAGAGTTGTTGTGAGGAGCACGAGTACCAAAACCATTAGTCCATATCCCCACAAGAACAGCATCCTTCTGCCAAACTTATCGACCATGAAGCTCTGAAGGGCACAAAATGCAAAAGTAACAGTCAGACATTAGAACCACCTTTCCTATTTTTGGGGGGGATTGGGGCGACATAAACAGGATTAATCTATCTTGCATGTAATAGGGCCATGAATTTGTAATCAGGTTCCAGGCTTCATTGGGGTTTTTTACATCCTGCTATTGTGTTTCGGTTTGGGATGCTGGGGTAGGCCTTTCTTTCTGTTTCCTCTTACTGTGTCTGGCTTCCCGTATAGCCACTGCCAGTATGAAAACTAGAGTGGTACAGGAAAAATAATCCCTACAAAAAGTGTCAAAGATAACATGTTGCTTAACTGCAATGGCGCAATAAGCTATTTGACCTCATCAAGCAAATCTCCATTCTGAATGCAGCTTCTTACTTTGCTTTCTCCATGCTGCTTTAATGGCCTAAAGGTCGTCTGAGCGGGGGAAGCGCGTCAAATTTAGATTTGAAATAAGGCACTAGTTGTTAATAGTGAGGTTAATTAATTATTGGATCCATCACTGGAAACTTTTTAAAATCGAGATTGGAAGTCTTTCTTAAAAGAGATGCTGTAGGTGAAACAAGAGCTAATTCAGGCAAGTCCTATTGCCTGTATTATGCAGGAGTGCAGACTAGGGTTAGTGTGGTCCCTTCTGGTCTTGTAATCTGTGGAAAAGAGCACTAGTGGAACCGTGGTGCAGAACCTGTCTCTTCTGTAGTTCTCACTAGGGATGTAAGTGACTATTCAGCTAGTCAATGGATGACTACTCAATTAGCCTTTCCCCGCCCTCCCCCTTGTTGCCTCTGAAACAGAGGCAGCAAGGAGGGGGGGAGCAGGAGCTGGTGTTGAGGGAGAGCTGTCTTAAAAGCTGGTTCCCCCAGCACTATCTCTTCAGGAGTGGGAGGTAGGGGAGGCAGAGGTGCAGCAGGGGAAAGGATGAGTGTAATAGAAAGCAAGGTGGAACAACCTATCAAACAATGGGATAGGAGCCCCGGGCAGCTCTTGTTCATTGCAAAGGGACAGGCGCAGCAGTTGGGACCCCGTGTGAGTGGGAACTGCTTCAGTCCCCCCTTGCGTGGGTTCCCCACTGCACCTCTTCCTTTGCAATGTTCAAGACCTGCGGGTAGCTATTGTACATTTCAAAGGCAGAGGTACAGCGGGATAGCAAGTGCCCGTCCCTCCTTATCAAGGCCTGAAGGTGAAGTGGTGGGGTAAGTTCTGAAGTGGCCTAGCAGCTAGGATAATTGTTTGGGGAGCACAGAGTGGCAATCTTGAGTCCTGCCCACCCTTGGAGCAGCTGGACGGCCAACACTAGTTTTCCAAGGGATGGAGCAGCCTCTGGCATTAGGAAGGCGAGAGAAGGGATGCCCTGAAATTCCATCGACTACTCGATCAGCTGTTTAATCTAAATTTAATGTCTCTAGTTCTCACTGATTCCAAATCTTTTCCTAGCAAGTGCCTCATGGAACTGGCAACGGGTGTCCCTCCCACATGAGAAGAGATGTGGCACAGAAATTATGTCCTTTCCCAGTGCCCGTTCTGCCCTTTGTTGTGTAAATTCCTCCCTGGAATGCCTAGAAAGGTGAATTCCATTGGCTGAGCTCTCTTTGAGTAGACACCGAGTGGGACCATGGGATGAGCTAAGCATGCCGGTCGAGAGATTGTCAGAGAATCAGGGGCACGTAACCTGGAGTTACGAGGCGCGAGAGGCCTGGTCCTCACCTGTGCCTCAGTTCTATTGAGGTTCTTCTGCCACCTCTTCTTTCCACTTACCATACTTCACCGTACCTCTGAGGAAGCTCTCCCTGTCCTACAGGTGTTCTAGTAAATTGTGTTACTGCTAGCTGGGCATGCAATGCCCTTTGTGGATCCCAATGCCAGAGCATTTTTTAAATTATAATTTCCCTCCATTGCACTGCCACGAGGGGAGGTCCTCCAGCAAGAAGGATGATGGAAGCACGAGGGTAGGGCAGGCACTTGTGTCTGCTGGCTTTTATTCTGTCGTGTCATCTAAACTTGCTTGGGCCAAGAGTTAATCAAAATGGTGGCCTTGTCTATCCAGATGCAACTAAAGAATGGGAGAGAAGTCCACCACTTCATAGGGGGGAACACCTTCTGCAGAAATAAAATCTCCCTTTTCGTTGATTCAGAGAATCACCCCTCACCCATTTTGTGGAAATTTTCCATCTGTCAATTTCCACTGCAATGTAACTTACACACACTATGGCAGCGCAGAACTCACACCCCCCGGCCCCCAGTGATATGTAGGGGATACAATCTTGAGTAAATCCAGCTGTCTGATACACATCAAAGGCGTAGAAATAGATCTGGGATGAAAGGAACAGCATTTTAAAAAACATCACTGATGCACACCTGTGAGTAATGGGCCAGATTTCGGAGAGAATGCTTCTCACCTACTGACCGCTTATCTGGTTTGTACTTCATAGTCAAGTTAATATTCAGCTCTTACTCTACATTTATGTCAGGCTGTTTATGTGGGAACAGATTTTAATAGCTTCAGTGGAAGAAGTTTTGTTACTGAAAGAGCTTTCCAGCTTTGTGGACATACAAAAGTCTATTACTATGACGAATCACAAAAGCAGGAGGTGGGGAATTACAAGCTACTTGAGTGGTTTTGAATTACCGTAAAGTCTCGAGTATAATGCGCACCGATGTATAACACGCACCCTGACTTTTGAATCTTAGCATAATGAAAAAATCTGAACTCCTATATAAAATGCGCACCTACTCAGCACCTATATATCTATACTCCTATATAGCTTGTGTGCAGCCCTCAGCCAGGAGCCGACCCACCAGCACCAAGCCCAGCCTCGCCCACTTTCCGGAGCCGGCCCCGGGCAGCAGAAGAGTGGGAGGGAGGGACGTGCTGCTCCCACTGCAGGCTCACCCTGAAAATGCGCGTGCA